ATTCCTTAAAGTACTGGATTATTATTTACATTCAAAGATCTTATCTATAATATATTAAATATCACATTAAGTGAGAATTATTTTTTGGACGATTTTAACCCTACTACAATTCAATTATTTCAATAATACCTTACTTTTTGTTTTTCAATATATAATAAATATTATAAAATCCTTGTCATGTATGAATTTCGCGTTATTAATTTTCAATTTATTAACATTTACTTTAATCTAAACTCAATGAATCTTGATTTGATGAATCTTGATCTACATGAATATAAAGTTATTATAGATGAATTTATTTCTATTCATGTATCTAGGAATTTTAATGAGTGTTTAAATTCATGTATTAGCAATTAATTCTTATGTATTAAATGTAATGTATAAAAATGTTGCTCATTTGTAATATTTTATCATCACAAAAAATTTGTATAATAGAAGTTGAATTTTGAAAGTACAATTTTCTTCTCTTAAATTTTTATCCTAAATTTTATTTTCTTTAGTTCGTTTGAGATTCATCAAATCCTCCCAACAAATTGGTATCAAATATTATTTTTACAACACTTACAAAATATTTCAGAATAACGTGCAATGCACGATCAACACTGACTAATTATTTTAAACGCTATTGACCACCCCCTACTCCAGCGTGTGCCAATTGTAAATAACGGAATATCATGCCCTCCGATAATTGGACAACATCGACTTGTGCTTTAGTCTTTGGTGTTCCTTCTAAGCTTCATCATTGTAGCTCTACTTTTAACTACAATAACTCTCTTATAGGTGTTGATTCTCAATCACTAGTAACAATAATTGGCAATCGATTTCTAGTGCCGATACATGATTTCTAGGCATGCTATTGACTAGTATTCACTAATTACGATACATCCTATGCCTCTTTGGTTTCAATTGGATAAAAGTGAAGGCCAAAAATCATACTTAGGGTCCGTTTGATTGTAAGGATGAAAAATGGGTGGAAAGAAAATGAATTCTAGGGAAAGTAATTGCCTAAAAATTATTTTGTAGGGAATTGTTAATTAAGTGTATTTGATTGGTATAATTTTCCACCCGAAAAATTTTAAAATTTTATGTCTGTTTGGCTTTGTTTTACGTGGAAATTGTCCATTAAAGTAATAT